ATTTGAACCGGATGAAGGATTTTAGTCATCGGACGTCTGGATCTTAAGTTATCAGAGAAACAAGCTGAGCTAACGTTAGCAGCAGCTCCTCCGGGACGTCTTTTATCTGCCAAACAGCATCTGAGAAACACTGATTTTTAAGGTGAAACTGCTTTATTCAGTGTTTCTATCGGATTTAATCACCGGGTCCATTTATTTTGGAGAGGAGGAGACCTCTGCGGATAATTCGGCGCTGTGAAAAAACCTCCTGAACACTGAACACTGAAGGAATACTAACCGGGAGAATTTACGCTATTTCACAACATCACCAAGCTGCGTCAGAAATTACAAACTGTACATTTAATCATTTTACTTTCTCTTATACCTCCTCTTTTCCTGTCCTCTCTCTCTGTCTCTGTCTTCGCATTCACCATTTTAGATGACCTGGTTCAAGGGCTGGAAGATCGAGCGTAAGGAAGGCAGCGCAAACGGCGTTACCCTACTGGAGGCTCTGGACTCCATCCTGCCCCCCACCCGCCCCACTGACAAAGCCCTGCGTCTGCCCCTGCAGGACGTCTACAAAATTGGCGGTAAGGAGTGTCAAGTCATGCCACCTCAAAAGTTGATTTAAAAAGCGAAAAGGAATCAACTTAATGTCAGTGGAAATGGGCTTTATACAAACTGATATTTTACTAGTCTAAGAAAACTAACAGCAGATCTGAAGAAACGGCCAAGTAATCTTATCACGTCGGACTGAGTAACATTTCCATATCACTTCCGACACAGCACAAGTGAATTAAACGCCATCAGATGAATGTAAAGGTCACAGCAGCACAAGGTAAAGAAAATCACATCAGGTTGATAATAAAACCAAAAAACAGCTGATTTTCATTATTTAGGGAGAAGTTCAGTCTGCAAGTAAATTGTTTCCCCTCACAGTGCAACGAAAAAGAGCTAGAAAATACAACTTGTACAGTCGCCATAATAAACAAATCAGCAACCCTTCTCTAGTTCATCCAGCTGAACGCTTTATTTACAGCCGGTGAGCAAATGGGAAATAAATCCAAGTCCCGTCTGGTGTCTATTCCTGCTTTTCCACTAAAACAGCCAGTGTAATTCTCTATGTAATGAATAAAATTGCTGAGAAATGTAATAGCAGTCTTACTGTAAAATGTAGAAGGCGCCTTCCTCTTGCACACGGTGATCATGAATTAATGCTTCAAGGGCAAACAAATGTTTTTTAAAACATCGCTGATGCAGCCTGTGACACAACAGGAAGCACTCCTCTTGCTTCATATCATTACTTTCAGGCTCACCGCAGTTCTCCGGTCGAGCCAGTCCTCCCACTCCTATATCAAAGTTGCCAAATATAATCCGAGCATTGATGCTCTGATAGTGATCACATTTATGTGCAGGAAAATGGGGTTAATATTACCTATGAAAATAAAACAAAACACGATGGCAATGACAAACCTTTCCCTTCTACCTTTCCCTTTTTAAATATATGCAAATTAACATCTAAAGACACGTAAAACAAAACTTTGACCTGTCACAAAATATCTAAACGACACAAAGAGTCAAGTTGCTCACCTGAAATCTCAAAAGTTGCACCAACATCAGTAACAGCAGCTTGTAGTGAAATTGGATTGATGCTTCATATGTAGTCACCTCTGATATCTGCTAAAGAACAAATTCTGGGAGTGAATCCAAACAGTTTGTCGACTAGTTCAGACAGGCCAGTGTGGAACTGTCCACCACTACAGCAAACCACAACTACCTGACAGGTATGAATACAGTCAGTACAGTCTGTAACTGTAACACTGTGAAACCATAAAGGATCAAATTCAGAAGAAGGCTTTAGAGAAACACTGACAAGATATTGGGACTTTACAGCTCCTACAGGCTGTCATTTGGGTTCTTGTTTTTCACAGGTTAAAAGAACAATAAACAAAATGTTCATGTGCTCAGAGCCTGTGAGTTTTTCCCCATGAATACTAAATCCAACAACCCAACTATTAGTGTCCACAAAAGTAAGAGAAAGAGTAAGAAGTGTAAGCAAAAACAAAACAAATACTAGCAAACAAACTGATTTACCGCCTACCTACGCCCGTTACCCAAGCAGGTACAATAGATAATAAAAAAAATTGTGATAGATAACAAATAAATAAGATAAAAAATAACCATTTATCTATAAACACACACACACACGCACACACATACATATATAAATACTGTAAGTATATGAGAAATAACATTTGCAAGTTCTTTTATTTTGAAGCGAACTGAAGCAACAACCATATTGCTTCCTGTTGTCTCTCAGGTATTGGAACTGTACCTGTCGGTCGTGTTGAGACCGGTGTCCTGAAGCCCGGTATGGTCGTCACCTTCGCTCCCCCCAACCTGACCACTGAGGTGAAGTCTGTGGAGATGCACCACGAGTCTCTGACCGAAGCTCTCCCCGGCGACAACGTCGGCTTCAACATCAAGAACGTGTCCGTCAAGGAAATCCGTCGTGGAAACGTGGCTGGCGACAGCAAGAACGACCCTCCCATGGCTGCTGATAATTTCACCGCCCAGGTGAGTTTGAGCAAAATACAAAAAGAGGAAATAGAGATTAAAAAGAAGGAAAAAGCAAATAGGAAGAACTTGTCTTGGCTTCTTCTTGGTTTTTACAGAAGCTTTTCTGAAGGAAAGCTGAGAACGGTCGCAATTCTTTTTTAATGCACTTATCTTGAGATCATAAGTTAATTATCTTGTTATCTCAAGTTAACAAAGCTTGTTTTCTTTAATGGTTTAATTTATAAAGAGATAAAGACTCTTAGTTGTCCAATGCGCTCCAGGCACTGTGGATAAATCAGTCATTTAAGAAGAAGACTGGCCCAGCTGCTATTTCACAGGCAACTTGAAAAACGTTCTTGTTATGTTGAGAAAACTGTCTTTTGTTGGACGCCTGTCACTATTCATCCGCAGAAATAGAATACAATATTGATATGTATGTTTTCATTAGTGTATAATCACCTGAAAATAGGAATTATTGTGTTTTTGTTCCCTTAGAATGAGTTATTTTTACCTACAGACGCTGGGGTCGCCTTCCTGTCCACAATGTTAAACCAGCCATGTTTCTACAGTAGTTCAGAAAGGGCAAACCAATCACCGGCTGTAGATTAGGTCTTTCGTGTTTTTCCCAAGTTTCACGGCCACCATAGCCCCACAGACGCGAGCAGTGTTCAGTTAGTTGCAATCTGAAACTTTACTACTAGATGCCACTAAATCCTACACAGGGGACCTTAAAGTTTAAGGACCATTGTGAATGAAAACAGTCGTTATTACACAACAGAACAACCATTGACCAACACTATTTAACATACAGTTAGATAAAGAAAACTCCAGCACCAACCAGTCAGCTTCCTTAGATGATCTTAGACGTTTGAACTGTCCCTCTGCAGGTCATCATCCTCAACCACCCCGGCCAGATCTCCCAGGGTTACGCCCCCGTTCTGGACTGCCACACTGCTCACATCGCCTGCAAGTTCAGCGAGCTGAAGGAAAAGATCGACCGTCGTTCCGGCAAGAAGCTTGAGGACAACCCCAAGGCTCTCAAGTCCGGAGACGCCGCCATCATCACCATGGTGCCTGGAAAACCCATGTGTGTTGAGAGCTTTTCCCAGTATCCCCCACTGGGTGAGTGAAAACGCTGTCTGCCCATTTTGTTAATACAAGAATTTGTTTGGCTTTATAGACTCTTTTCATGGCAAACCTGTGATAGCAGGCGTATTGCTGGGATACTGAAATGGAACCGAGCCATTATTAAATAATTAAATCCATTTCCTGCTGGGACAAAGTCAAAAAATGTCTACCGCAGACACACACACACATTTAGCGACCAACTGGTGAACATAGTGGACCAATTAGCAGCTAAAGAGCCAGATATTCCCCTCTGGAGATGGTGGAGAGAGTTAAAAGGAATATTGTGCCCTATAATGTCTACTGGATGTGTGATCATTTATTTTGCTAATATGTTTGCCTTAACAACTTTATAAAGAACTAATTTTAGATTCAAATACATTTCTGGTGTGTATTTAATATATTTTACGTCAATAACAATTTAATTGAGGAAAACTTTTAATGATTAGCCAATTATTATTGATTAACATGGTTGAAGATTGATTAAGGAAACCATTTAAAACCATCCCTAGTACAGGGACAGATGGATTTACAGTTCCTAATCTCAACTTCAAACAAATCATGATCGAGAATGTAAATAACTTTGTTTTATTTTGACTCATTTTTAATTATGTTTAAAATGTTTAGAGCATAAAATTAACTTACAATGCTAGTCTAACTGTTTTACTTCTTACTTATCTACTGGTATTTGTTGAGCTCCATCAATTTAAAGTACTTATCTGTAGTATAACGTGCACTGTACATTCACCTCCCACCACTTGCACCTTAAACACAGAGGATGTCTCGTCAAATACTAAATCTTTTAAGCCTCTCGTCAACTCTCTCTTTTCTCGTCTCGTCTCTTCCTCCCAGGTCGCTTTGCCGTCCGTGACATGAGGCAGACCGTGGCCGTCGGTGTCATCAAGTCTGTCGATAAGAAGGTCGCCTCTGGTGGAAAGGTCACCAAGTCTGCACAGAAGGCCGAGAAGAAGAAATGAATTCTCATGCAGGACGTCCAACAAAAAGTTGCATCTCAGCAGCAGCGGGCCGCCCCATCCCTTCTTCTTCCCTGTCACCCAACGCCATCTTCTCTGAGGCAGAGCTCTCTACTCAAGGACTGGCTTATGCTGATTAAAACCCATCGGAAAAGTTTCCGCAGGAAAGGAAGGCTTGTGCCTTTTAGGGGAAACTATGATCATGATTAAGTTGAAACCAAAACAATAAAAATCTTAAACATTGCCAAATGAAAATGTTTCTTTTGTGTTTTATTACAAGTATTTATTGATTTGCATGTTTCAGTTATAATCGGTTGATTGGTTTCTCATTTCTTCTGTAAATCCAAAAATGATGAAGGAGTACATGTTTGTACGAAAAGGTGAGGCAGACAAGTTAAGGTGTGTAAAAATATAACAAACAAGAACAGACTGGTTGAACTAGTTGAACTGTGTATGCATGTTATGGTTACGGTATAATTATTAGTGGGAGGAATTGTGCAACAAAAACCTATCACAAAGAATCAGGAGAAGGAGGAGAAGAAGGCGTCGTTACTTTTTTGGGAGGTGAAGGTACAGACGGAGCAGGAGACGACAGACATCGGCCACCTCCATTAACCTTTTCAACCAGGTGAGTTAAAACACTGTCATATCTTCAAATTTGACTTATAAACAGATTTTATTCTTTTAAACTGAAGTTTCTACAAGGAATGTATTTAAATCAAATAAACTTTGATTAAGGTAACACACTGATAGTTCCTTATAGTTTATAGTTGGAATGAACTAGTATCTTTTGAGATTATTTGTAATGGTTTAGTTAATACTCGGTAAAGGGTTTGTACAGTCTACAGGCTGTAATGGTTTCTTCCTGTTTGTGGTGCCAGTTAGCAGCCAAAAACATCAAAATAAAGCCCTGATGTAGGTTTTATTTTATTAAAGCAGAGCTATTCTATTGTCGAACATATTTAAATTACATAGCTTAAATGTGTATTGTGCAATGGTGGAAGTAACAAAGTACACTTACTCGAGTACATTAACTCAAGTGTACTCTTAAGGTAACTGTCTTGACTCATTTTATGGTAATTTATACTTCCAATTATATACTTTTAGTAAAACTTTGAATACAGGACTTGTTATTTGTAAAGTGTGGTTGCCACTTTTGAGTAAAACATAAAGTTGATAAAACTGTCCCTAACATTAGCTAGCAACAGTAAACTGGTTTTAAATAACAGTTTGACTCCTATGGTGGTCCCACTGTGCTCACCTACACCTATACACAAATTTAAACCTGTTTAATTCAGAAGTCTACATAACCATTCTCCCCGTCATTAAAAACCAGTCAATCAAAATGGGAAAGGAAAAGATCCACATCAACATCGTGGTCATTGGCCATGTCGACTCCGGCAAGTCCACCACCACCGGCCACCTGATCTACAAGTGCGGAGGCATCGACAAGAGGACCATCGAGAAGTTCGAGAAGGAGGCCGCTGAGGT